TTTGGACATGGTCTCCCCGACTGATTTGCAAACTCTAGCTAATCTGTCCAAGACCTGAAGCCTGGGACCACCCCTTTAAGGACCCCGAGCGCATTTTACCCCCGGATCGTAGCGCCGTGAACATTGGAAGGTTGCACAGCTCTTTGCGCCAGGTCACGGGCAGAATGGGCTGCTTCGTGCGAACCTCCTCCAGGGACAAATCCTGAACCTCTTTGTGCAAATGCAGGTCCTGAAAGTGGCGCCCAAATGAGCGGGCTGAAAGTGCGGGGGTCGCAAAGCAATTGGGCCCCTCCACCCCCGGGAGAGGTTCAGAGAAATTAGGTTTTTGGAGGGTTCTGCGAACATTTCTGGGAGGGGCCCTGTCTCCCCACAGGCCATCTTGTCTCCCTGTCGATTGGAAGGGCGTAGAGGCTCAATGACAGATTGTTTCTACCGCATGGCTTCCTCACCCTGGCTAGTGCTATTAAAGGGCTGCACCTGCCTAAGCAAGAACAATTGCTCTTATGTTGATCTGCATCTCTTATCCCTTCGCATGCGCAACAGGAATGACCTGTCATAACAGTCACACATTTTGCGCAGAAGAGGTGTGCACAACGTCAAACAAGTACATGTCACTGCCCTGCTCATTTCTGCTTCCCATGGTTTGCCGCTGCCTGCCAAGAAAAGCATGGGCACTGGCTTCCATTTGGTCGTGACCCTTTGTACAAACACACATCCATAGAATCTAAGATCCAGTTCATGATGACAGGCCAGCAGCTTTGCGAATGAATCTTGCAGACCCGGGCTTTTCCCTGATGGGTTACTGGGCTCCAACCACCTGTCGCCGTCGGCGCTCAAAGTTGGCTGGATGGTTCGGGGACACAGTCGTGCCAGAGACAATGAAACTGCCAAAGTTCAAGAAAATGGCAGTTCGGCTTTTAACCCCTGGCTTGTTTGCGGGTCCCCTTCAAAGGCCATGTTCAAGGAACCTTCTGGTGGGCTCGGAATTCTCATGGGGGCGGGCCAAAAGGTCCACCAACCACTTTTGAGGTGGTTCGGCCCAGTTTCAGCCAAAGCAACAAAACATAAAGGGTCATCACCTCTTGGGGACGCTGAAAACAGGAACCCAAAAAGGGAAACTAGTTCAGTTCTTTCGGTAGGTTCGCTTTGAGCCTTTTGTTGAGGGCTCTTAAACAATCGTGGAGAACAACTCCTTAACCACCAAACCACTGAGCTCCAAACCACCCTTGAGGACAGCTCCAAACCCCACGCTCCTGGCCCTCTGCGATGCTCGGCTCGCTGCTCTCATCCACGGAAGCTATGGGTGCCATAATCGGCCGCATGTCACTGGGCAAAAACGGCCTCAATCTCGCACGCGCCAAAACCCCGAACAAACAAAAACACAAACAAGGCTAACACCCTGGAATCAATAAATAAAGAACTAAGACAGAACACCATGACATACCAACTAAACAATACTCAGAACAAAACAAGCGACAACACAACATAAAGAGCACGAACCGAACAACCAACCGACCAGTCACCCAACCAACCAAGCAACCCAACCAATCCACAAACCAACCCAACAAACCAATCAAACAAACAAACAAACAGACAAACAAACAGGCAGACAAACAAACAAACAAGCACACAAACAAAACTAAAACGCAACCAAGAAAGCAACCAGCAAACAAACGAGCGAACAAGCGTAACAAAACAAAACACTTAAGAACCGGACACTCAAGCAGACGGCAGGCAAACGGACGGACGGACAGTCAGACAGACAAACAAGTAAAACACGCTTGCAAACAAACACTCGCTCACCAAGCGAACGTACCAACAAACATAACGCAAACTCAAACGCGCACAGAACCATAGACAAAAAACACAACGCACACCCACGAAACAGACGCAGACACTGACACAAACAAAGACGCCAACGCAGCCACAAACAATAACACAAACACACGCACTCCCGAACCACAAAGGCACACACACATACACACACAGACATACCCTGGGGGGTAAAAGGCTTTTAAAACAAAGGCCGTTACATGAACATCCTTTGTTTGACTAGCTGGGGGATGGGGGCCTGGGTGGAATTCCAACTTTACATCGTCAGCAACAAGCCATTTCCACACCAAGCTAGACTTGCGAAGGCCTCAACGTTAAAGCAGCACATTTCTGCATCATCAATGGAACAATCATGCTCTTCCCGAAACATCCATTCAGCAAGACCTTTTCAAACCCAGCAGAAAACAACGCCAGCCAGGACGAATGCGAGTGGTTTTTCGCCTGCCAAATTTCACGGCGTTTCACGGTCTTTCACTGCAAAAAAAGGGCGTTCACGCCAATTTCACGGTATTTTCACGTTTTTCCCTTGTCGATTTCCCATTGCTAAGCCCATGATCAATGTCTCTAGAAATCCCACAAAGTTGAAGACTTTGAGCATTGACCAGCTTCAACATGTCTACATGGTTTTCGAGAGGCTTTGGGAAAGCGTACTTTTCAGCCACAAGCA